TGTTCCTTTTAATGACCAAGCACAGTGGGTGAACCAGAGGAGACTTCCCCTGTGAGTCACAGCCCTCCTCTCTGGGCTCATAAAAGTCTCACTGGCCAGGCCAAATCTTTCCTAGAATGGTTCCTCAGTATGAAATCTTTTCTAGCCAGCCCAACCTCCTTCCTCCTTGCCCTCACAAGGGTCCAACCTGTATCACTGTTGAGGATATGTTTCTGCCCTTCCTAGTTATGGAACTAGCTCACTCTAGTCTATGATTTGTGGTGCTAAAATAGGATTAGACGTGCAACGGATTCATTGGGAGAGATACATGAAAAGGATCTAGAGAAAGTAATGGAGTTATGGCTTGGCAATTGATGCCCCCAAATGGTATAACCATGTTCTAGAACCTACATTGTGATCTTATTTAAAAATAGTCTTTGCTCATGTAATTACATTGGGGATCTCAGGACAGCACCTAGCCAAGTGGGCCTCCAATCAAATTCTGCCTCATGAAAATAAGGCAAAGGAGAAATTCTCTATCAGAATGGTTCCTCAATATGAAATCTTTTCTAGCCAGCCCAACCTCTGTGCAGACAGAGTCAGTAGTCAGCATTATCAAGCCACAAACCAAGAAATCGAACACATTAGATTAGGCATGAAAAATTCTCCCACACAATCTTCAGAAGACATTCATTTCTGCTGACATCTTAATCTCAAACTTCTGACCTCAAGAGCTATGAGATATATTTCTGTTGGTTTGGGACCCGATCTTTGTGGTTGTTTGTTACAGGAAAGCTAACAGAGGTAGAAAGAGCCATGCAGTCATGGAGCATGCTCAGCAAGTGAAGAAGAAGACACATGAGATGTAAAAGAAGAGTCTGGTGGAGTCTCTAAGGAGAGATCAGAGATACAGTGGGGCAGGGGGATGGTAAGAAGGAGAACCACAAAAGCACACCTAGCTCAAATACATCATGATTGTATCTCATATATTATATGCTAATTTAAAAAGATGAGAATACCACATGTCTAAATTTAAGATGGTATTTTAATTATTTAATTATTTTTCTAATTTAATTATTATTTATATAATGCCTACAAGTATTTTAAGACACTATTCAGGAAATGTGCAGTTATATAAGCTGTGAATTAACCCATGTATGCACTTATAACAATAATTGTGTTATACACTTGGTTAGCATTAACTGTTCAAATTGACACAATGTCGAATCACTTGAGAACAGATTATCTCTCTCAGGTTGGTCTGTGGACATGTCTGTAAGGGACTGTCTTAAATATTAACTGCTGTAGAAGTGCTCAGCCTACTCTGGGTAGTGCCATTTCCTGGACAGGTGATCTTGGGCTATGTAGGAAAGCTAGTTAAACGTGAGGCTATAAGAGAGTCAGTAACATGAGGCTATAAGTGAGCCCATAAGTGGCATTCCTCCACAGCTTTTGTTTAAGTTCCTGCCTTGAGTTTCTGCCTTCTTTCCTTCAATGATGGGTGCTTTCCCCCTCTAAGCTGCTTTTGGTGAACGTTTTTATCACAGCAACAGAACAGAACTAAAGTACTTACCTGACGCAAAGCTATTTAACCACCATTCTCGCTTACCTCTCTTTGGTGTGATAAAACACTGACCCAAAGCAACTTTGGGGATGAAATGGCTCATTTCCTCTCATAGAGTCCATCATCAAGGAAATTCAAGGCAACAACTCAAGGCAGCAGCCTGGAAGCAAGAACTGAAGCCAAGACCATGGAATAATGCTGCTTACTGGATTACTCCCTCTGGCTTACTCAGTTATTTTATTATTTGCATTTGTTGTTGTTGTTGTTGTTTTGTTTTGTTTTTTTACATGGCCCAGGCCCATCTGTCCAAAAACAAGACTACCCAAATTAGGCTAGGCCCTTCCACATTAACTAGGAACCAAAAATAAAAATAAAAAAGCCCTCACAGGCCAAAATGATGGAGGTAATCCCTCAGCTGAAATTCCCTCTTATTGGGTATGTCATGTTAACAAGATTAGCCATGAAAACCACTACAAATTATGACATAGATGACAGATAGATAGATGGATGGATACACAGAGACAGAGAGAGACTGTTTTGGTCATAAAGAGGGCTGAATACAATAGATTAAGAGGACAAACAACAGATCTGAAAGGAAAAATATTATCATAATATTGGAAGTATCTTGATGTCTCCAAACCCAGCCATATGCTATGTAGTCAAGAATATGAACCAAAGGACATTATCAACTGGATATTAAGATTCCATCAGTCAAAAAAATGGTGTAACTATTTTAGATGAATATTATCTCCCTTTTCCTGAATCTTCTCAATATGCTCACTACTACTTCTCAACATTGGCAAGGTTATATAATTTCCTTTTTTATATGTAATGGCAAAGATGAAATTTCTAGAAACTGAAATTCTTATAAGAAGAACATATGTCAATATTCACTCATATTCAACAATTAAGCATTTTAGCAGAATAAGGGAGAGGGATGAATAAATTTGACACTATAATGCAGAGCAATGTTATGACAGAGTATACAAGAAAACTACTTAGAAGATGCCCAACATACCTCTGTGGCCCTGTCCCTTCCTATCCCCTCCCCAGAGATTTGTTAGCAGAAACTAAAATAACTTAGGCTTTTTTGGAATCATAGAAGAAAAAGTGAGCAATTTCTGATGAAAGAATGCAAGCGATCATGAAGTATGTATGAAAGGAAGAGAGAACAAGAAATGAACATCAGACGTGAAGCTTTCCTCTTTGGGACTTGGTAGCACTGACTACATCTGAATCGAAATACATTATCCTGTCACATTTTTTGGAAGGATATCACTGGTTCAGTGGAAAGAGTTTAACCAGTTCCAAGAATTTAATGTAAGAGTTACTGAATGCCTTAAAATACATAGTTATGTTTCCCATCTATTGACCAAGGAGCAAGTCCTTGGAAATGGCTCAGTTTGTAAACTATCATCTCTCTTCCTTCCATCATTATAAGACAATATTATATTCTGTAAAATGGATGTATTTTAACATATGTTTATTCATAATTGTTTCTCTATTTCAAAATCTCAAATATAAATCTCACCACTGTCTGGACAAGTCTATTAAAAGTTTCCATGTTTTTATACAGTTTCTCACATCGACATTAGTGGCTCATCAATATTAAAGAGGCCTGCAGTATTGTTAGCTAATCATACCAAAGACTATCTTTGGAATCTGTCAAACATAGACCTGGCTTCTATTTTTACAGCTTGGTGTACAGCATGGGCTGATTCAACTATTTTTAAAACTATCAATCCCACTTTGACTAGAAGAAAATTATCAGCTTTAAAATGCATACCTTAACCGAGATAAATATCACCTGAGAAGAACATAATTTAAATGCTGGTTCTGAGAAATAAAAATGGCAAATACATATTCTTCTTGGTTCTCAGCCACTCACATGCCCTTCTGCTTTTCACTGATACTGGTGCAGGAATAGCTGAGAATTTCCTGAATGGCCTTCTGGATATGGAGGCTGATGCTAAGACATGTCCCCAAACATGGTTATGTCCAGGGGATCATGAGAACCAAATAGAAGAATGTCAGAGAACAGAAACCATCTTCATACTGTGGATTTCATTGTCTGGGCAGAAACAATGTCTAGGCTGGCATTCAAAATCTAGTATGTCTAGGTATTCATTGCTAGTAATTTCTGGCACACACACACACACACACACACACACACACACACAC